TCGTAAATTGAATTCAGTCGTGTTACCAATAGTGAAGATAACAAAAATAAAATTACAGATTTTTACGTTAAGTTTTGATTTAACGATACACAGCAAAACAAAATATAATACCGATCAATGTAATTCATGCTGACGTATGAAATAATGATGTAAGCAGATACAATACTACATCAATGGATGTAATTTTGTTCGCAAAATCGATGTACATCGTACAACGTTATATTACACAACCGATGGATTGACCTGGTTGCAGCAGTTTGGATGTAATATTCAACAACTTTTTTTTCTGTGTGGTGGCAGATTTGGTAAACATACCCTGGACAACTCGCCGCAACCGAAAGAATCCGGAAATTTTTATAGCTAGGTCCGAATGTTTCCTACTAATTTGGAGCATAACTTTAAGACTACATAATCATTGATGAATGATAGTGATTCGACCACTCGACCAACGAACTGCAGTGAGTTGTTTCTCTAGCTGATGTCTGAAGAATTAATCATGATTTTCTTTTTCAGGAAAACAGCAATGGGTGTTGTTACTTGTGCCAAATCCAGTTTGAGAATGTGGAAGAGCTGATGAAACATTTGAGTAGCATAAAAATCCACAACCTTAATCAATACAGTGATTATAAATGCGCTCAACCTAGCTGCTTCCGTGAATATGCTGGCAGCAGATCATTTGTTCGCCACATCCGAGAGGATCACGCTAACGATTTGACGAAACCATGGGTTCCCAAACGTCTCCGTATTGACCAGTGTGATTCCTTCGGTATCCAGCACCCTACAGTTGGCAGTAATAACGCTGATGAATCATCATCTGATGAAAGGTAACACAGTAACACTTCCAAAACTTGGTTCACTTACCCCACATTGATCGATTCTTTTAATTGACTTTCTCTTTCGGTCTCTAATGCATGTAGTCCTGTAATACAAATCCGCTTGCTGTGTTGTTTGTTGTATGCGTTAGTTACTCCTCATAACTGTGTCGAAATAGCCGGAAATGGTCGAGGAATTAAATATTTGTTTCAAGTGAATTGATCAATGTACTACACAGCAAAAAAAAAATGTAATATCGATCAATGTAATTCAAGCTGATGTATGAAATAATGATGTAATTGAAAGATGTAACATGATCCGCGCATTCGGGTTCGCTGTTCTGGGTGTAAGAAAGGTAAATGAATAATTCTGTTTGGCAAGGCTATGGTAGAAGTGAACGCTACTGACGTGAGTGCAATTGCATGATATGCATTTTTCTGTCTTATCGGCTAATTTAGTAAGTTCAATTCTTACAGTGGCGTAAATGATTTTAGTTACTTATTACACAAATCATTTGTTGCAAAGCATCCCTGTAGGATTTCCTCCATTGATTTAGACAATCTACGCAAAGCTGTTTTTGATTATTACCAGCGCCAGCGTCGAGCACAAGATTTTGATCCCCGTGCTGCACAGCTTGAACAGTGGATGGATTCGATTTTTAGCCACCTCATTCCTGAGCAATGCAAGGGGGGAGGTAGCTCATCGATTCTTCCGGTTCGCCTCATAGCATCGTGCTATAAGGTACCAGGCGATAACCAAGGTAGTTGATCGATAGCTCGATGACGTCATTTCGTTGGCGTCTGCAATGGGAAATTCTCATAGCAGGCGTTGACGATGGGACGTTGTCGAGTTGTTGAATAGCAACTATCGTGGTAACTCACCGATTACCTGTCGATCTGCCAAATTTGGAAAGACGTCTGCATTGAAGTGTCTCATATAATAATGTTCCGCCCACTATATCACAAGAAATTGCGAGTAGCTGAGTGGAATGGAGATAAGTTAAGCATTGGGTACAGGACCAAGTCTCCCCTGGATGGTGCCAGAAGATAAGCGCAATAGAATCATCAAGTTTCCATAAGGCCGGAATGAGACTATTGCATGGCTGGGTAGTCAAAGTCTTCCATTCGTTAGTCATTTCAGGTGGGTCTCGCTGGATACGCCCAAGACTGGACGGGCGGTAGCTGGTGGCCGTGAACGGTTCCTGGGGAAAGCACTAGATGCGACCCTCCTCCCAGATGACCATGGCAATACAGGAAGTATTACAACAAAGGTAATTGCTATCAGATATTTTGCAAACAGTGACAGATAGCGGACATGAAGAACCAGTGGAGGTGCCGGGCAAAGGTGTTTATCCGAGACAAATGGTAAGTTACAAATTCCATGTTGTCGTTGTCGTAGACGCCGTCGCAGTCGCTGTCGTAATCACCGTCGTAGTCTAAGGCAGTACCGTTAGTATATTTAAAATAAACCATCAACCGCTGAAAATATGATTTATCGCGTATTTCTGTTGTTCATTACATGCCAAGTGAAATTCGAGAACTTAATTTCATTTGAATAGCTTGTTTTACCAGGTCTATCGTCACGTCGGTCATAGCTTGTTATGATTGCCTGAACCATGCGTAAAGAGAAAATCGAAAGTGGATCTTAATGAAGGCCTAAGTACTCTTTCGTAGCTTTTAGTTTTAGGATTTCAAAGATCGTCGGTTGCAGTGGCTTGTTTACTGAGCAGAAAAGCACGGTCCCAGGTCCTTTCATATTAAAAATGTATTTATAAGATCGCTTGTTTAACGTGTATTTTGTAAAACTTTTCGGTGTCGTCGGTGCCGGGTTTGAATAGTTATACAAACTTGAGTAACGCTATAATGTGATATGAGGGGCTCGGTGGCCTTAAAGCAACCGGTTTTGCTTACTGAGCAGAACATCATGAGTCTAATCTCAAGCCCATCCACATTCAAGATTCGTCAATTGTTTTATTTGTTAATATGACTACATGGTAATAACAGTAAGTCGATGATTAAAAAGGAGCTCGTCTGCCTAGTTGCAAACGGTTTTGCTTACTGAGCAGAAAACCGTGGGTTCAATCCCAAGCTCCTTCGCGTGATATGATGGTTAGGACATCAATTCAGCTTATCGTTTACCAAAACGAACCCTGCTGCAAACCCAACCCTATTACCCAATATCCCAGTGATTCCTCGTGGAAGTGCAGAGATGTTCTCGGCTTCTATCAAAGCGAATGTCACGTCAACACATTCCTACCCCTTCCTTTCTTGACCTGTGTTCGGGCGCGGCCGGCGCTGGTATTGCCTACTTTGAGATCACCAGTTTTTACACATTGCGGATGATTGCTAGTCCCAAGCAGCGTCTATTGGTTCTCTGTGTAATTACAGCTGGTCTGGCGGTCAATCATGCTCATGCTCAGCAACGCGAGTTCAACAGTGTTCAAGAGTGAACAGTGAGCGCACTTTTTCCCGTTTCTCAACTGGATCTATGCTTTCGGGGAGTGCCGAGAACGGATTACTCTGAAGCAACCTTTCCGTGTGGTTGCTGGCACCAGCTTTCTTGCGAGGCCTTTTCGGGGCACTTGAAGGGATGCTTAGGTAAATTTATGCCGAGGATGCAATTTGAAACTGTGCATTTGGACTGTGCTATTTCATAAAGAGGAACGTGTGAAAACTGACGGTCGGGGTACCACCGGCAAGGCCATTTTTGCATGGATTGCACTTTGCTGGAGGTCTACCTTACTTATATGAATGTTTGTTAAGTACAGTATGTCACATTATTGTTAGCTCAGTTACGCGGAATCAAAACATATATGAAACATTTGAAAATCAAAGTAGATCGAAAGTAGATAATATGCCCCACGCTAAGAATAGCAGCCTTGCGCCTGCGGTACTGCTACAGACCCTACACTCAAAAATAAATTAAATCACAAAATGTTAAAAAGTATGCAAATTCCCGCTTTACCTTATTGAATCCGAGCCATGATTACTTTGGCAGTAGTCATGTACACAGCAAAAAAATAATTTTGATATCACGTCAAAGTGGATGCACTACAATCATGTCGAAAATTTCATGTAATTTTTATGACCACATAAATAAACAAATGCAGTAAAAGCAGCGTAATGTCAGTTCATGCATTGTATTAATGATAATTTTGTCCTTTTTAGCAAGTAATATTACACCATATTTTCGACATGATTGTAGTGCATCCACTTTGACGTGATATCAAAATTATTTTTTTGCTGTGTATGATTAAATTCTAAATAATCACTTGTGATAAAAATGTATCTTTTCATTATCAAATTTTATTATTTTAGAATATTAAAATATAATCAAAACTGATTAAAATATATTCAAACAAGATAACTTTCAATTTAGTCAACCATGATTAAACTGAAATCTGATATTAGATGATTATTTTTTAACAAGTGGTAATGTACACAGCAAAAAATTAATTTCAATATCACATCAAGATGGATGCACTTCAATCGTGTCGAAAATATGGTGTAATATTACTTGCCAAAAAGGGCAAAATTATCATTAATACAGTGCATGTGCTGACATTACGTTGCTTTTACTGCATTTGTTTATTTGTGTGGCCATAAAAATTACATGAGATTTTCGACATGATTAAAGTGCATCCACTTTGATGTGATATTAAAATTAATTTTTTGCTGTGTATTTTTAATCACTCTATATGATTATTAAACTCAGAAAATTGATTAAATTTTAATAAAAATGAGAATAGTTTAATTTATCAGTGTAGGGATGGTACCACAAGATTGATCAATAAATGGCTAATCTATGGCATTGCAAACTTGCCGTTATACACGTTTATATGGAGTGTTAAATTACTAGTGACCCATCACCCACTAAATTGCACAAAGTTTCTATTCGTACTCACCGTCACCGCTCGCAGCATTCGGCCTCCAAAGCTCCCACTCCTATTCGGAAAGCTCTCGCCCCCCAAAGACACGACGACGACGACGTCGACATCCGAACCGAACGAACGCGGATATCAACTTCAGCGCCAGCCGCACGCAGTCAACTAGCGACTACCTACCTACCCCCCATATGGAACCTGAAAGGAGGTTTGTTTTCAAGTAACTCCAACTAGCGAGCTCCGGCTTCAAGTCAGTCGATATTGGGACGTGCTACGAGTAACATCGCGATCTACAAACGGCTAGTACCTACCTATCTACCTACCTACCGGAGAACGGAGACGAAGTTTCTGCTACGCGAATCGAGTGTTGTCGTTTGCTGTTACTGGAAGGGAGTGAAACTTTTACCCAGTGTCGGTGTGTTGGTTGAATTGGAAGTGTGGTGGATGCAGTTTCAGATTGGATTGGATTGTTGCGAAAATCTGAGGTGAAAGTTGCGAACGCGTGCGAGTGCGAGTAAAAGTCTTTTTTATGTGTAACCAAATCTGCGCGGAGCAGTTGCAGCAGGAAGAAACTGCGGAGCTTTAGGGAAAGTAAGTGTGAAATGATGGAAATGCTAAAATCATAACAAAATAAATAAAAATGCGGGAAGATTTGGTGCGAAATAACGAAAATCGCTGTGAAGTGGCAGGCCAAACATTTCGGAAAGGATAAGAAGAAAAAAATCGAGGGTGGGCGGAAAGTTGAATTGGAGAAAATCGGCGAAATCGCCGAAGGGAACCGACTCAAGTGGATATGGAAGCAAAGAACAAGAAGAAGCCATCCACCACATTGGTGCGAGGCATGCATTTAGTGAAAACGAAATAAGCAGCAGGAACTAAAGGCGAATAATAATAATAATAATAATAAAAAATGGCAGTTGAAGTGAGTGAATCCAAAGTGGTTTTTGCAGGGGATGGTGAACGGACGAATGGACGGAACGGGCTATTTGAAAAACTGCATGCTTGTTTCGAAAGTTGAATTTGTGAAGCGGTTGGACAGCGAACGGGCCCCAGTGCAGCAGCAGTGAGAGTTATTTCACATGTTTTATGAGCTGAAACATGAAATCTCGTCTACAGCAACAGAGTGGCTGATAGCCGAAAGCCACAAAATCTGAACACACAGCACAGAGCATGGGTGCTGTAGTTTAGGGATGGGAAATTTGATGGAGTTTTTTTTTTTTCGCAGTGAAGTGTGTTCCATCAGCCCGGTCAGGATATGAACGTGAATGCAAGCACTCGCAGAGTGACTAATTGGGGAAATAATATTCAGTAGATTGCATAGCTCTGGAACAGCTCTACAAAGTTAGTTGGAATTGAGTTATCTCGGCAATTATACGAGAGCGAGACGGAGATGGCAGAGATGGAGAACTGTAAAATTCGTGGATGGGTGAGACTTGAGGGCCGACCCGACGACTCGTTGCAATCGTTGCAATCAGATTAATTCAATTGAAACTTTACTCAATGTATGAAAATTGTTCCCGTTCGAGGGATGTAGTTTTTGATTGCATTTTATTGAACTTGTGCACACGGAAAGTTATGGCTTGCACAATCTGGGAGGTGTTGCTTGGGGTTGCTGATTGAATATCAGCTGAAATTTAATGTTATTCTTCTAGATTAACTCAGTTCTTATTTGATTGTAAATATGGTTTGGGTGAGAAAGTTGCTAAACATTTTCGTTATGCGTTCAAAGACAGTGAGTCGGTCAAATAGTGTAAAGCTTGGTGTAATATTCAACTACAAACTGGAGCAGGTTTTTGAATATTAACTTACATGATAAACGGTCAGTAATTCAATGAATTAACGCTGGAATTTACAATTTCATGTAAATTTATATCGTTTTCCGTTCAATTCAATTAATTTATACTGAACTTTTCACTGTTACGTAAAAACACAGATGCATGTAAAATTCAATGCAAATGAATGGATTATTAATTACTTTCACGTAAAATTAATGCTGTATTGCTGTATGTTTAAACTAAGGCCAGAAAATACACCAATGTGCCAAATGTGCTAATTCTCAACATTTCTTCAAGACTAACTACCGAAAAGGCTTTAAATCAAAAATTGTCTAAGCTAAGTTAGCCACTTCTGGGGTTACACGCAAAACATGTTTTTCTTACATCCAATGTAAGGTTGGATTTATTATATCCTCTGCATATGTTTTAGCTGGGGCCCCCTTTAGTTCAGTCGGTAACGGTGCAGCTACAAAGCAATACCATGCTGGAGGTGGATGGGTTCGATTCCCGATCCGGTCTAGGCATTTTTTCGGGTTGGAAAATTCCTCGACTTCCCTGGGCATAGAGAATGATTGTACTTGCCATACAATTATACTAATGCAACAATCGTACAGGCATCGAAAGCTCTCAATTAATAACTGTGGAAGTGCATGTAGAAAACTAAGTTGAGAGTACGCAATAAGCTAATATACGATAAGCAATAAGCTTGAAATGCGAAGAATAAGAAGAAGAAGAAGAAGCATATGTTTCATACCACAAAAATGTAATGGCAATTCTTGCAATGGACTGCAGCATACAAGGAAGTTTTTCCAGTATGCATCTTTTTGTATAAAACCTTCACGAGATGATTTTCTAGATGCAATGCAGATGTGGGAACACAATTTGTTCTTTAAGTTCAGAAGGTCTCCTCAGAAAGCTACAGTTCGAATTCAAATTCTAAACAAGCACAAAGGATCTCCATGGTAAATCCAGAGAATCTTCGGACAGGTCCAGAAAACTTTCAAAAAAAAAATCCTAGATCATCCAAATTTCAATGCATCTAAATCCAAGAGAGACAGGAGGCTCCATGGGGATTCAAAGGGTTTCCATGGCAAGTTAAACAATATTCTTAGTCTGATCGATAGGATCTTCGAAGTAAACCTCCAAGGCAAGTTCATAACATTTCCAGAGTAAATCCGGAGGACTTCCAGGACATGTTCAGAAGGTACCCTGGTTCAGTTTGAAATTCCAAACAAGCACAATGGAAAATCGACGAAAATTTTACTCAGTCTAGGAGTATACTAATAGGCTGATTGAAACCTCTCTCGATTTTCTTGATATTCAAAAACAACATTTTATTCAATCTACGTACATTTTTGCGAATTTGCGCGCACGAAACTCAAATTTGGCTTAATCCGGATGGAATGAGTCCGGAGCTAACTGTGCCTTCTACCTTCTTTCGTTGTTTCGTTGTCTTGTCCAATACAATAACAACAAAACGCAATCAGCAGCAGCAGAAGCAGTCAGTGATGCCAACATGCCAGTTTTTGACGTCTGTGATTTCTATATGGGGGCACACTTTGGGAAAACCGAAAATAGAACATGTAACAAAATTTTGAAAGATTTTGAACGTTAATGACTCAGCTGCCCCTGGACCAAATTCAATAATTTTATCACCAATCGATCAGATATATTTTTACGCATCTGTTAAACTTAAGACTTTGTCATTTTTCAAAATGTCAACATTGAAAATTCAACGGATGTGCAACTGTTGCTATGATAATTAAAATTATCACCAATTGCCTGCGAAAAGCGATCTCCCTAACACAGATTTCAAAGTTGAATTCCAACCGGTCTCACCAAACGGTGTTTATTCAATCAACGCGTGGTGAGTGGTGGTGTTTTCCAGCTGCAGCCCACATGAGCATGCATAGAAGGAGCAAGAAGCCGCACCGCTATTGATCGGAATCATTTGCACGTCGTGAGCCGCTATGGGCCATCTATGCCAAGCGCGTCATACTAAAGAGTATAAACAGCAGTTAATAAATAAGATTTATCATAAACGATCACGCAGTCCTACGTAACCATTGCGTACAACCCCATAGGGCTGTACCTTGTAGTTTTTACACATCCAGTTAAACAGATAATGTTTGAAATCTTGCAGTTTTTTTAAATTCATCCAGTTTTTCAATTGTAATAGCAACATATTTTGAAGTATGATAATAAGTACAGAATGATTAAGATGCTTACATGTTAAATTTTTGTATTAGAATAGGATTATGAGAATGTCATATTTATTAACATGGCTTTACGTCAAAGTTAACCTAACTGATGTTGAGTATTTGTAACAAAACAGTACGTTTAAGAACAATGGAACCACCTCAAATCTTGCCGTCAATATTAATGAAGAATCTGTTGTTGTTTTTTCTACCAATATTAATTTAAATTTTCGGAGCTTCAGTCCTTTGATTAATTTAAACTTCAAAATCTTAAACACATTTCAAAGTACAGCATATCAAATATGTTTACCTGTGTTGAAGCTTCAAAACTTCTCATTTACCCTAATCTTGAAAATCAGTGTTCACTCAACTGTCGACCGAAGCAGATGTGTGTCACGTGATCGTCTGTTTACTCGGCAGCTACCATTGTGTGGTCCTCCTCATTGTTCTTCATCAGCAGTTCCTTCGGTCGATGCGTCGTCGATTTTGGAAAGCAACCGTTTCGTGATGAGTGTGTGAGTGCTGACCACGTTTTGCGTCCATTGCTGCAATGGAAGCGCTCTGCCCCCCGTTGGCAATACTGCTATACAATGAAACAACTGGAAGCGGCTCCCGCACTGATGGAGGAGGCTTATTGGATAGTGAAAGATAATGTGTTTATTGTGTTGTACTTTTTGACTATAGTTTGATATAGTAAGATGTATTGTATAGTGAACAAGAATCCTCGGCTCTGTAAAGTTGATTTGATTCAGCCTTACAAACAAATTAATATATAACAAAATCATGAAAATTTCTCCATACCCGGAATGTTCAATTTTAAATAAAACTCCCTGATTTTTTTTTTTAAATCCAGGATTACACAATTTTTGAAGTATGAAGCTTACAACAAAAATTCAAGCCTCAGAATTTCAATTTTGTTTCCAAACCTTGAATCTAGATGTATTTTTTCTGTGTCCAAGCTTTCAAATTTGTTTTATGCAAAAATGGAATTCCCTTATAATTTGCTCCATAACACCAACCGGTGTAAACTAACGATTTTAAATTGGCTCACTACTTGACTAGCCTATAGGTCCCAAGTACATCTATAAGCGTACCCCATTCTAGTCGAAATTCTAGTACTACACTATGTTTGTTTTGATTCGCTATGAAACTTTGTCAGATAAAATGAGTAGTTCGTGGATTTTCCTATGTTTCGAAGGGTGCATCGATTAGCTTGGGACCGAAGAGAGTACCAGAGCTGAGCCAAAAAGTTGAGCACGTTTTTTCGGGACCTTCCGGTCTTAGAGTTACCTCTATGATAATACTCTTGAAAATCTTCTGCAGAACACTTTCTGAATTCACTCTTATAATTCTTGCAGCGTCTTACATAGCAATTCCCCGAAAAATGCTTCCTCTTCACTTCCAGTATTCTCCTGATATTCCCATGAAGATACCTTGGGAATTCTTTTTAAGTGCAGCTCAGAATTGATTAATTCTCCCCATAATTTTCTAAAAAATACCTCCTGAATAACTTTGGAATAATTCTCGGTATTCCTTTGACATGTTCACCAAAAGTTCTTTGGAACTAGCCTGGTAATTCAATTCCCTTGAAATATACCTTAGAATTACCTTGGAAATT